TTTTTGCCCTCAAGATATGGCGACATTACCTCTATGGGGTCCGCTATACCATTTACACGGATCACAAGAGTTTGAGGTACCTCATGGATCAGCCGAATCTGAACATGAGGCAGCACCGATGGTAAGACGTGGTAAAGGATTATGACTGTGAGATCCTTTATCATCAGGGCAAGGCCAACGTGGTGCCTGACGCCCTGAGCCGCAAGGTGGTAGCAGCCTCGATCAGGAATATATGTCTGAGGATGACGGTGATTACTCCATTGTTGGAGCAGATTAGAGAGGCACAGGTCGAGGGACTGAAGGAGGAGAGGCAGAAGTGTGAGAGGATTGTGGGCCGAGTAGCTTCTTTCGATTATGACAGTCGAGGATTGTTGACCCTTCATGGGAGGGTTTGGGTGCCGTATTGGGGAGGAGTACGGCAGGTGTTGATGGATGACGCCCACAAGTCTCGGTTCTCCATCCATCCAGGGGCGACGAAGATGTATAGAGATCTTCGACCCGATTAATGGTGGCCATGCATGAAGCGGGACGTAGCTTGGTACGTGGATAGATGCCTGACCTGCAGGAAGGTCAAGGCGGAGCATCAGAGACCCCACGGCAAGATGCAGCCGTTAGACATTCCCGTATGGAAATGGAAGGATATCACCATGGATTTCATCACTAAGCTTCCCAGGACCGCACGTGGAGTTGATTTGATTTGGGTCATAGTGGATCGGCTGACCAAGAGCGCGCATTTCATACCGATTCAGGAGAGTATATCTGCCGAGAAGCTAGCTGATATTTATGTGCGTGAGGTAGTGGCACGGCATGGAGTGCCTGTCTCGGTGGTGTCAGACCGAGATGTCCGGTTTACTTCCCGATTTTGGAAGCGGTTTCATGACGATATGGGTACTCGTCTCCATTTCAGCACCGCTTTCCACCCTTAGATGAATGGATAGAGCGAGAGAACGATTCAGACTCTCGAGGACATGCTTCGGGCATGTGTACTAGATTTCGGTGGCAGTTGGGATACGTATCTTCCGTTAGCGGAATTTTCGTATAACAACATCTATCATTCCAGTATAGACCGACCTCCCTTCGAGATGCTCTACGGGAGGAAGTGCAGGACCCCAATCTGTTGGGGTGAGGTCGGTCAGCGAGTCATGGGGAGTACAGAGGTGGTACTCAAGACCACATAGTTGATCCAGCAGGTCCATAGCAGACTGCAGACTGCGTAGAGTCGGCAGAAGAGTTACGCCGACAAGAGGCGTTCGGATTTGGAGTTTCAAGTGGGCGATATGGTCCTCCTGAAGGTATCACACTGGAAGGGTGTTATCAGGTTCCGAAAGAGGGGCAAGTTGGGCCCCAGGTTCATTGGTCCGTTTAGGGTTTTGGCCCGGGTGGGTCGGGTTGCTTATCAGTTGGATCTTTCAGCAGAGCTTAGCCAGATCCACAACACATTCCATGTTTCTCAGTTGAGGAAGTGTTTGGCTGACGAGTCAGCAGTGGTACCCTTGGAGGATATTCAGGTTGATAACAGCCTGAATTATATCGAGAGGCCAGTTGCGATCTTAGATCGGAAGACGAAGACTTTGAGGAACAAGGTGGTTCAGTTAGTAAAGGTGCAGTGGCAGCACCGGAAGGGTTCAGAGTGGACGTGGGAGGCTGAGGAGGAAATGAGGGAGCATTACCCTGAGATATTTTTAGATTCAGCAGCAGCAGACTTCGAGGACGAAGTCTAAGATAAGTGGGGGAGAGTTGTAACGCCCCAGTTCTGGTATGTGATTTAATTAAAGTAATTTTCATTTCTTAAGGGGTACTCGACGAGTCAGTAGCCCGACTCGTCGAGTAGAGACGGGTTTTGCACGCGATTTAAGTTGGCGACTCGACGAGTCCATACTCTCGGACTCGGCGAGTCCGCCAGTCTGGATGAAACCCTAATTTCAGGGGTTTGCACCCTATTTAAACACCTTATATGCCCCAAGACCAGCCTCCCTCACTCACAAAGAGTCCCATACGAAACCCTAGCCGTTCTTTAGCATTTTTGGAGCATTTTCTCACCTGTGAAGGTTTTAGTGCATCTTGGGGATTTGGGGAAGAAGAGAGTAGAGAAGTATTCAAGAGGGAGCAAGTAGATCCGGATTTCTTGTTGCATTTCAGTCTTCTTGGAGGTATCAAGCTGGAATCTTTGTTTATTATCTATTAGATCTCTTAGAAAGCATGTTATTGTCATTTTGAGCCCTTTCTAGACTTTAGGGTCGAATTAAGAGTTGAGATGGCGAATGGACTTCAGATCTAAGCTTTCCAGAGCCTCTTAAGCTCAAGGTTGCCACCTTTATTGAGCCAAGTTTCCATTCCAAGATTAGATCTCTTCCTTTAGCTTATTTTGGGTTTATAAGCTTCGTATTAGCATGTTTGCACGTAAAGTTGGAAACTTTACGTGTAAGACCAGCGCTAGGAGTCCCAGATCTATGAATGGAATGCTCTGGATTCGAGCAGAATCGACTGAATAGTAATGGCATGCTAAGGACTCGGCGAGTCGCTCTTCTGACTCAGCGAGTCGAGTCACGAGTCCCCGATATTTCCCCTTTGAGAGTTTGCGAGTGGAATCAGTGAGTGGGAATTGGACTCAGTGAGTTGAGACGTAGATCTAGTAATGGAGGGACTCGGCGAGTCTGCGCCCTGACTCGGGGAGTCCAAGGTAATCTTCTTGCCTCAAGAACAGACTCGATGAGTTGTTCATACAACTCGGCGAGTCAGATGAAGATGGACTGGTTATTAGCATCGAAGTGGAACTCATCGAGCCTATGCTAAACTCGACGAGTAGTAGCGGGCAGAGAATTAGATATGAGAACAGGGACTCGGCGAGTTGGCGGCCCAACTCGGCGAGTCAGGTCAACTGAGAGTTGAATTTGGCCAGAAGGTTGACTTTGACCAGGGGTAAAATAGTCATTTTACCCTGAGGGAAGTTATCAGTATCTGATCTAGTGTTTTTTGGATGTGTAGCCGGGGAGTTCCGGAGCATCAGTCAGCCAGCTTCAGATTTAGCACCTCAGCAGCCAGCGTTACGAGGTGAGTTTCCTTCCAGTAGGAACGGGTCTACGGCCACAATTTCGGCCCGTTTAGTTAGCAGTAGTTCCAGACTTCGGTCTGATGCAGTAGTTCAGTGTGCTTGATGTCTTTGTGATTCAAGCATGTCTTTGTGTTATGTGTTCCGGGCTTCGGTCCGATGCACTATGCAGTATCTGTGTTTATGTTAGTAGTTATGATTATGCTATGCTATGTTCAGTCACTTCCGGACTTCGGTCTGATGCAGAAGGCAAGGCTCTGGTTAGTTCCGGACTTCAGTCCGATGCAGTTTCCGGACTTCGGTCCGATGCAGAGGGCAAGGCCCTGGTTAGTCCCGGACTTCGGTCCGATGCAGTGGGCAAGTCCCAGTAGTTGCTTTATATATTATTGTATGGTATGTGTAGTTTGGGGGAGCTCACTAAGCTTTGTGCTTACAGTTTCAGTTTTTGGTTTCAGGTACTTCCGCTAGTAAGGGGAAGAGCTCGGGTTGATGGCATCGCACACACCACAACTTCAGTTTTATCCTGGGAGTTTTATTCATATATTTTGATATGATTGATACAGTATTTGTTTTGACACAATTACTTGACTTTTGAGTTACTCATTCTATGGTTCTTAGTACGTATGTCATTCGATGATGTGATTTTTAGTAATATTAAAACAAAAAAATTTGGGTCGTATTTTGGGATGTTTCAACTGCTTCCTCATGTTATCCCGAATGTGACGAACACGGTAACGATTTTCAGCACAAGGAAACAAGGTTGCAATTGCATTTAGAATACCCTAACAATCATACATAGATTTTGTTAGTAAACAATTTAGAAATAAAGTAAAAAATCTATGATTTTAGTACCTTTTGTCTGTCTGTTATAAAAGTGAAATTAGAATTAGTATTCAAGCCAAGATCCTCCCCAAGACAACTCAAAAACCAAGTCCATGAACTGATGTTCTCTGTTTCAACCACCGCATATGCCAATGGATATGTGCCATTATTACCATCCAGTCCCTGCATTTTTATGATAAATAACAATCATACATAGATTTTTACTTATTTTTATGTATAACAATAAGTAAAAGAACAATAATTAAAACTTACCACGGCTGAAAGAATTTGTCTTGGAAATGGACCCTTCATGAAAGCACCATCAAAGCCAAGAAAATCCCTCTTTCCAGCTGCGAAGCCTTTCTTTAAAGCTCCTAAGCATATGTAAATGTCCTTTGAAAGGCCTTTGAAAGTGATAGTAAAGTGGTTTACCTACTGAAGCATACCCTAGGTCTTCCATCATCTCATCAATGTCATGAACGGAAAAGGTATCAATGTCCAGTAAATCAACAAATGTTTGCTTCCCACGAATATACTTCCTTCCAGGAAAGCTTGTAAACTCACCTCCATGGTGCATTCTTATTGAAAACACTGTCGGATGTCCAGCTGTAGAGGAGAGAAAATCGTTTTTAGCTAACAAAATTAAACCTTTAACAGTCAAAACGAAAGTCAATCAAACATACCATAACTTTGATCAACGTCGATTTCAGCCATTTCACCACGAATGCGCCAAGAAACCATTGCAGTTCTTTGTTCTTGCAGCCGTCGCTCCTAGGGTTTTCACGTAAGGATTTTGCACATAGTTGTGTTTTTTTTGGTATACGATTGTGTTGTATAATGTAGAGTATGATCGTTTAATTGAACGCATCGATTTCTTAAACTGACGGTAGGATGAATAAGTAAAATGACGGAAATAACCCTCAACGTGCAAGGCACGTGGGGGTTTTAACTCCAAAATCAAACGGAAGGTTAGATGAGGGACCAGGCGTGAACTAAACCAAACTATTAAGGATTGGCAGGGTTAAAAAATGGAGTTAGGGACTAGGCGCGTAACAAACACCAAACCATAGGGACCATTCGTGTAATTTGTCCTGAAAAAAAATGATATGTCAAATTTAGAAGAGGTAAATTAGATTCTTGATTCGTGATCTATGAGAACGACATTCAATCTTAAGTTTTACAAGTAACCAATGTGATATAACTTGAAAACTTTTGAAGATTGAAGTTAACGTTAACAAATTTTTAATCCTTTGTGATTTTTTTATTTTAAAATTTTAAACATATTACTTTATTTGGGTATAACATTATATTTTAATATATTATTGCAATGTGAGGCTATCAACCCCCTTATTCTTAAATCCGGGCTCCGTCCCTGAATTGAAGCGTTTCCTTCCGTTACCACCATAACGCGCAATACCCTAACGCTGAAAAACGTAAGCCCGGGACGGTGTAGTCGGCGTTATAACGTCGTTTTTGTCGTGCCATGTCCGAGTAATGCGGGTGCGCGTTGCCTATTCCTACCCGTTTAAAAATGGGATAACTACAGTAAAGTCCCTATATTTTGGCAAAAGTTTCAAAAAAGTCCTAAATTTTTTTTTTGAATGAAAAAGCCCAATAAACCGGATAAACCGGACAATTTAGTCCTTATCATCCCGTGACCCTCATTTTCCCGGTTAAAGAAGTCTACGTGGACTGAGCATGCTTAGGTGGACTTAACGAAACTTAAATATATACATCATTCATTCCTTTCGTGCCCTAAAATCGGACCAGGCAAAAATCGAAGCAGGAGGAGGAGCCACCAATGTCGTCTTCATCTTCTGTAGGAAGTAGAAGTTCAAATCGAAGAGTGATGAATCGACTGCAAGTTCTTCCAATGGGTGGATCCTCCTCTACCAAATCATTGGTATGCAAATCTCTTACTAGAATTTCACAACAATGTTAATTTGGAGAACAATGCAATTTTCGGGGACTATGGACAACAACAAGTTGAAGGGAACTTTTTTGAGGACATTGTGGAACAACCAGTGGCACAAACACCAGTGGCAAATCAACCCGTGGAAGGAGTGGCCATTCAAGTCCAGAATGGAGAAGAAGGTGGAAAATGGAAATCTTTTTTTTATGTGTTCATGGTTTCTTTTGTTTTTGTGTTGGTGATGTTGAAGGATTTGTAGGATAGACAGAAGATGTATGGAAAATAGTGTTTTGGTGTCTTTTATGTGTTTTGATTGTGTTTTGGTGTCTTTTAGGATAGACAGAAGATGTATGGAAATCATGTTGTGCCCTTTTGTCAAGTGAAATGAATTAACAAGTTTATGTTTATGTATGAGTCATAAGTGCTTCGAATGTAATCATGAGTGAATAGAGTGGAATGAAAGAATGAATGGAATGAAACAATGAATGGAATGAAACATGAATGGAATCATTAATTAATTGAATCAATAAACAATGGAATGAATATAGAATATAATCAAACATGTTTAATAAACAATGGAATCAATAATGATTGGAATCATTTATGACTGGAATCATGCATGACCGGAATCAAGTATGGTTGGAATCATGCATGACCGGAATCAATTATGGCAGGAATCAAACATGGTTGGAATCAATTAACATACACAATAGAATCAAATCAAACACAACATAAACATACACAAGTTAATCAACTTAAAGATGCATTAACCATGTTTATCATAGAACATGTAATATCAACCAAAAGTTTGTACAAAACATAATCAAGGGGCCCAAAGCCTATACTTTATATGACTATCAACAAAATGAGCTATCAACAAAAGGGGCTATCAACGGTTGCCCAAAGCCAAAAAGTTTGTACATGTTCTTCACAAAAGGATGGGTTAGAAACACCCTAATCTAGACTAAGTGGGTTGGATGAACTCATCCCCTTCCCATTTTTGACAACCACCAATTTCTTCAATTGTATTTTTGTTATCCTCTCTGAAGTCTTCATCTTTCTCAGTTTTGTCCTCCTGCTCATGTCCTCCACAACCAGGCCCTCATGATCCATACCTTCTTGTTCCATGCCCTCCTCACCCATGTCATTCTCATTGATTCCCTCCTGATCCTACCCTTGTGCACCCATTCCATCCTGATTCATGCCCTCTTGATCCATACCTTCTTGATCCAACCCTTGTGCACCCATTCCATCCTGATTCATGCCCTCTTGATCCATACCTTCTTGTTCCATGCCCTCCTCATCTATTCCCTCTATACCCATATCCTCTTCAATGATTCCCTCTGGACCCATACCATCCTGATTCATAATATCCATACCTTCTTGTTCCTCACCTAGGCCCTCCTGATCCATACCTTCTTGTTCCAAATCCTCTTCATTCTCAGTCAAAGTTTCTACAGTCAAGTGGCTAGGAAATTCAAAACCCTGCAACAAGCATATCAATATATGGTTAGGCATACTAAACACAATAAACTAAAATTCTCTTGCTAAACCATACCTGTGATATATTAAGATTCACAGGTACATGTTTTAGACCCTCAAATTCATATAATTCTTCCTCATTGATTCCAAGACAGTCTAAAATCTCTTGTGTAGTGTAATTCGACTGTCTCATGAAATCAATATCACTCTTTACATCCACTCTTATTTCATCATTAACTTCAGGACTCTCCACATCTCTTGCCTCTTCATTATCACTCTCAACAGTAGGAGTCACCACATTTTCTTCATCAAGATTAGAAGTTCCCTCACCAAATTTTGTATTCCCTCTACCTCTTTTGCCTCTTCCTCCAGATCCCCTACCACCACCTCTCTTCCCTCTTCTACCAGATCCAGTACCCCCACCTCTATCACCTCTTCTAGATCCTGTCCAGTTAGTCAAATCAGGATCCAATTTGGGTCTGCCCATTTTCTTTTTAGGTTTTGGCTCAGGTACAACCTTTGGATTTTTGCAAGAAGCTTTATTATGTCCCCTTTGAAGACAATTCTTGCATTGTACAGTTCTTCCCTTGTTAGACACTTGGGGGTACTTGTCTTCATGCTCAGATACATGTCTCCTTCTTTTGACACTGGGTCGTCCTGGCATCCTCCTAGCTGTAGGTGGAAGGGGCTTGGTATAGCCAGTTTCTTCCCACAAGTTACTTCCATTAACTGGAAGTATGTTAGACTGATATGTAGCCATATAATTACTCTTGCTGAACCAAGTGCTAATGAATTCCTTTGGATCTTGGTTGGTGTATAAGATTGCTACCTGTGCATGCACACAAGGTATCCCTGCTATATCCCACAGTTTGCAGCTACAGTAATGGTGTTCCAAATCAACTCCATAACTTTGAAAGCCATTCCTAATTTCATATGAATTAACACCACTTGGCACTGCATACCAAGTCCTGCAAATATAAACATTTATCTTATTATAAATGTAATAATAGTCAATTAAAAAGCTACATGTATATATGAAATATAAAATATACCTTCTATCCTCAGCAAATTCCTCCATCTTTAGAAGTGCTGCTTCACACACATCACCTTCTAATTTCTGTGCTTCCTCTCTTAAGTTGTAGAACCTTTCCATCATGTAGAGTCTTATTTCTTCAAGCATAGCCAAAAGAGGCTTCTTTCTAGCATCTAAAATGACTGCATTAAAACACCCAGCTATCTCATTCTCTACAGACTCACATGCCAAACCACTACCAAAAAATGCACTGCACCATGTATGAGGTTCTCTAGCCATAAGATGATCATATGCACCTTCACTTAAAGTCTTGTCCTATCCATGTTTATCTTGAAATCACCTTCTGTTGTAGATTTTGCAGCAGCCCAAAACATGTTTCTGAATTGTATCCCGCTATACACTTTCCTAAAATTGGCATAAATATGCCTAGCACATTGTCTGTGCTCTACATGGGGTAGAATATCCTTTGTTGCTTCAACAAGACCCTAGGAAATGAAAAAATATATTAGTAACTGTTATTAAAAACTATAATAGATGATATAAATTAAATGAACCTGTCATTACCTTGTGTTGATCACTAATGACACATAATCCCCTGCCAGCATCCAATGAAAGATCTTCACTAACTAGTTCCAAGAACCATGTCCAATTAACCTTGTTTTCAACCTCCACAACAGCCCATGCTATAGGGTAAATTTGATTATTTGCATCTCTACCTATTGCAGTTAGTAACTCACCCTTGCATTGTCCCTTCAAAAAACACCCATCCAACCCTATAACCCTACGACATCCTATCTTCCACCCATCTTTGATTGCTTTAAAGCACACATAGATTCTATGAAAAGTTGTAGTCTGATTAGGGTTAATATTAACAGAAATCCTAACTGTGCTACCTGGATTGGACCTCATCAGTTCATGTCCATAATCCCACACTCTTGCATAATGGTCACTCAAATTGCCATCAATTAAGGACAGTGCCCTACACCTTGATCTATAACATTTTGACCATGACACCTTGCAATGAAATTTACTTTGAATTATTGCCTGCATTTCCTTGCATTTTAACTTTGGTTTCCTTACTAGTTCTTTCACAAACTGCTTTGCTAACCAAGTTGGATTCATAAGCCTTAAACTACTAAAATTCCTAACACATGTATGCCTATCATTCATCTTTTTCACCTGGAAGGATTTTTCAGTACTCATCCATGAAGCACGAACCATAAAAGGGCATTTTTTTGGATCACTAGCACACACAGCCACTAGTCTAACACTGTCACACTTCTTGAAATGATATTTATAGCCCTTATAGATGGAATAATTTGTTAAACATAATTTCAGTTCGTGTCTAGATTCATACCTTTCTCCAATAACCGGTTTCCTCACATTCCATTTGACCTTCGGATTATGGATGGAGTATATGATTTCATCTTCATCACTAGATTCGTTAGTGTTTTCCTCATCATCTAGTTCTACTCGAGCATTTTCTCCTTCACCTTCCACTGGTTCGTCATCACTGTCTTCACAAAGAACATTAAGGAATTCATCTTTGCATCTTGAAACTGATTTGGTTTTTACAAAATCATCAACTTGAACGTCGATTGTGTCAGGCTCAAATACTTCATCCATCGCCAAAGGACACGAGCAGAATCGAGATCGATTTGTCGGGAATAAAGGAGACGAGAAAAAAGGGTTTTCAAAGAAAACCCTAAATTAATGAGGTTAACGATACAGTCACCATTAAGATGCCATGTAGACTTCTTTAACCGGGAAAATGAGGGTCACCGGATGATAAGGACTAAATTGTCCGGTTTATCCGGTTTATTGGGCTTTTTCATTCAAAAAATTTTTTTTTATGACTTTTTTGAAACATTTGCCAAATTATAGGGACTTTACTGTAGTTATCTTGTTTAAAAAATTCACAAAAATGCTCCATATATATGACGTATCCATAAATGACGTACCATAATGACGTAGCCCACGCGGTGTCGTTTATTTACGTGGCATCCAAGAATTTCCAGAACCACCGAACACTTGTTATAAAAGCCCCCATTGTTAACGACATCTCTACAATTTGATTTCTTTGGTGCTTAAACAATGGCGGATACTGTTGAAGTTGATGTTCACGATATTAAGTCGATCCTTACTTCCACCGAAACAGATTATCTTGTTCGCAACAACGGTGATCAGGTATCCAGTTTTCTTCCTCCTTGTAGCTCAGTCCTTTATTCCTTTATCTGGATCGCAACTGTTGGCAGTGACAATGTTTTTTGTTCGTCGATCGTTCGTGTGATTATTCAATTTTGTTGGAGTAGATAGTGCTAACGAAATTAGGTTTTCCTGGAAATGGGCTGTAAAAATGAAAAAGTGCACTAGGTTTTGACTTTTGAATTGGGATTAATTTGAGAACCTTTCTGGAATTCGTTTACCTAGGTCGATTTCTACTAGATATCAAAAGGATCTGATGATAATTTTGTTGTCAATTCCATATATCCATATAGAGATTAACTTCGGAGAGTGATAAGTTTGATTGGAGAACAAGTTACTTGTCTAGTATTAGGGTTTATGATAAGTTCTAGGCTATAAATGGATTGCGTTCATGGATCTGTAGGTCTGTACTGTTTGCTTCTCACAATTCTTAACACCAAAATTGGGACTTTAGGTGATAGCTCCCTTACATCTTCGTTATACTTGGATTGAGATTGCCGTATGAAGTAGTTACACAAAACTTAAAATTAGGTGTTTTATTGCTAAATGTTGGAATTGTCAGGTTGCAATCGACACCTTGAATGGTAAAAAGCTGGGCTTATATTTTTCTGCATCCTGGTGTGGCCCATGTCAAAGGTTTACCCCAAACCTAGTCGAAGTATATAAAGAACTCGTTTCAAAAGGTGATTTAGAGATCATATTCATCTCAGCTGATGAAGATCTTGAATCCTTCAATGGTTATTTCTCCAAAATGCCATGGCTTGCAGTTCCGTTCTCTGATTCCAAAACACGAGAATCTCTAGACAAATCTTTTAAAGTCAATGGAATCCCTCATCTGGTGTTCCTTGATGAAAACGGGAAACTTTTGACTGATCGTGGGGTTGAAATCATCGTGGAATATGGAGCAGGGGCCTACCCATTTACACCAGAACGGCTCAAGGAGATTAAAGATGAAGAAGAAGCAGCTAGAAAGAATCAGTCTTTAAGGTCCATCCTTGAGTCTCCCTCACGTGACTATGTCATCTCAGCCAATGGCAAAAAGGTAAATATCACCGATCTTGAAGGGAAAACAGTTGGTTTGTACTTCATACTGTCATCATTCAAGAAATCATCTGATTTCACTCCCACACTCATCAAAGTATACAACGAATTGAAATCAAAACAAGAAAACTTTGAGATTGTAATGATTCCCCTTGACGACAATGAAGAATCTTTCAAGAAAGAGCTTGCTAATATCCCATGGTTTTCACTTCCATTTAAAGACAAAAAATGCGAAAAACTAGTTCGATACTTCGAGCTCTCGACTCTTCCCACTTTAGTCATTATCGGTCAAGATGGTCAAACCCTTCACCCAAATGTGGCTGATGCCATCGAAGAGCACGGTATTGTCGCGTACCCTTTCACACCTGATAAATTCTCCGAGCTTGAAAAGATCGAGAAAGCCAAACAGGAATCACAAACCCTGGAATCGGTTTTGGTTTCCGGAGATCTTGATTATGTAATCGGGAAAGATAGTGCAAAGGTGCGCGTATCTGATTTGGTGGGGAAGCATGTACTGTTGTATTTCTCAGCACACTGGTGTCCGCCATGTCGTGCTTTCACTCCAAAACTTGTGGAAACATATCATGAAATCAAGAAAAAACACAATAATTTTGAAGTTATTTTCATTTCGAGTGATAGAGACCAAGATTCTTTTGATGAATACTATGGTTCTATGCCATGGTTGGCGCTTCCGTTTGGGGACAAGAGGAAGCAATCATTGAGCCGTCTTTTTAAGGTTAATGGGATTCCATTGTTGGCGGCTTTAGGGCCCACCGGGAAAACGGTTACGACCGAGGCTCGTGGTCTTATTATGGCTCATGGTGCTGAGGCGTTTCCTTTTACTGACGAACGGATGGCTGAGATTGAAGCTAAGTTTGCTGACATGGCAAAAGGGTGGCCGGATAAAGTGAAGAATAGGTTGCATGAAGAGCATGAGCTTGTTTTGACCAGGTCACGAGGAGGGTATACGTGTGATGGGTGTGAGGAAGAAGGGAAAGTTTGGGGGTATAGTTGTGAAGAATGTAATTTTGATCTTCATCCTGAATGTGTTTTTAAAGAAACTAGTAATGGGAAGGAGGTGGTGGAAGAGAAGGGAAATCCGGAGGGGTGGGTGTGTGATGGAGATGTTTGCTATAAAGCTTCGTAAATAATAATTTGTGTCGAAGGTTTTGTGGGTGTGTATGCTAATTGCTCTGCTATAGAGAAGTTTGTTATAATGGTATTTGACTTATTATTATTAAATAAATTTCTAGTGTTTAGGAAAGTATCAGGTGTGTAATTGACTAGTTTGTATGGTAAAGTATGAAATATGGTAATGGTATTTGTCCATTTTATGTTACTAGTTACTTTAAATATTTAATGTTTTTGTTTAAAAAAAGTTATAAGTTTGTCAAAATATTTATACAAAAGAGTATAAAAAGCTAAGTGTAGACATAAACATGAAAAAATGAATTAAATTCTGATCAACTAATTTACCGATTTGACCCTAAGTAATTTTCTTTAGTGAGCTTCTAAACCATACAAGACGCCGGCATACATTTCCAGTCCGACATCGACAAAGTATACGTCTCTCATCTTTTGAAAGGCGTGCCACGTCAACAAGCTATCCGAACCGGCCTGATGGCACTTCCCAACAACCCGGTTCACTTCTAAAAGACTCGCCACCCGATCCAACCCACCATACAACCCGTTCCGACAGAACTTCATCAAGTGTTTCACGTCGTACACGTTGTCCCCAAAGAACACCTTCACAGCCTCCATAAACTCCGGCAACTCATTTGGCAGAAGGCGACGCGTGAGGATCTTCAACAAGTACCCGAAATCGTACGCGCTGTGAAACGTCACCCAGCTAACTGATTCATTGCAAACCAGCCCCGATGACATCATCAACTCAGCGAAATCGGCCGAGTTGATTCCGTTTACCCGGTTCCGTTCAAAATCAATCCCTTGACGTTTCAACAAGTCAATCGATTCCGGCGCGTAGGCGTCACGCGTGAGATCAAAATCGTTGAAATTGAACTGCCAGATGAAGCGTTGGTGAGTGCCGTCTATTTGTGGAAAGTTGCCGGAAGCGTCGGAGAGGGTGAGACCTAGTTGGATGAGGTTCAAAGCGTCGACGTTTGACTTTAGAAACTTGTAGTGCTCCGATGGCTGGCGATGCCTGTAAGATCTTCCAGGCTCCGACGATTGACGGTATACAACGCCAGGGAATTCCGTGTCCATGGAGATGTAAGGGAATTGATCGATGATAGATCTGATTAAATCAAACTCGGATTCTAAGTTATCAGACCATACTTCTCGGATTGTGATGCTTTCATCAATACAACTTGACATAGTTAATTATAAAAATATATATCCGATTTCACCTCCTTGATGCCCCAGATTGCTTTCCAGTGGTCTGATGTTTTTGAGGTGAGTGTGTGAGGGGATGAAAGTGGAAGATGATAGTTTTATAGAGGAAGATGAGTTGAAACTTGAAACAGGAAGTAAGATGGAAAGAGGGGATGGGGGATTCATGGTGTCTGGCTTTCTTTGACTAAATTCAGTGTTTGGAAAGGGATAAGAACCTCTCTTTCCTCCAGTCTTACTCCAACTGTTTCCCAATACTGAAATTGGAAATAAAATAATCAAATCATGAAATTGATAAAAAATACTCGCATATAATAGATCTGATTCCAGAATTAAATACGAAGCTACCTGATTATGTTTACCTTTAAGAAAATGATTATTTGATCTGATTAGTATAGTGATCTTTAAAACATACCAGTTAAACACTATTATATAAGCCATTTTTACAGTAATAAACTGATATAAGCAATGTTTTAAAAACCGGTTTGAACCGGCCGGTCGAATCGGTTGGACCGGGAATCAGGGGAGGGAGCGGTTCAACTATCACCGGTTTTACGTTGATGTCTGAACCGGATTGAACCGGCCAGTTTTTAGAAATACCCGGTTGAATCGATCAATATAAACCGGTTAAACCGAATAAAAATACACGGAAATGAATCATTTGTATAATAAACTTTGATGATTTTTTCAAATCTATTTAGTTTTCTCTAAATAAAAACATATGATAAATGTTATAAAGTTTTTTGATGTGTTTGTATTCATCTAAAACTATATTTTGTTTCGGTATTATATTTTATTTTCTTTTTGATGTATATGGATTGATGTAAAACACTAAAATTTATGGTTATGTGTTATTTTAATGTATTTGAATTGATCCACAACTTATTTTTATATGTATTTTTAATGTTTGAACTTTTAAACATCAAATTCATGATTTATATATGTATGTATGTATAGAAAAATAAGAAAAAAAATTAATATTATAGAAACCGGTTAACCCGACGGTCGAACCGGTTAAATCGGTTGAACCGGGAACCGGTCATCATACCGGTTCAACTAAAAAACCGGTTTTTAAAACATTGGATATAAGACAGGATGATCAGTAATTTTTTAAATATATTTTATGTTTTTGTTGCAACTTTTATATAAAATTTAAATCTTATAAAGATTGATAGGATAAACTTTCCAAATTTATATCCACTTTCTACATTTTTATATGAAAGAAACTCAAAATTACCACTTATGTGCCTGTGATTTATTTAAATTAGACGAATATATTTGCATTGCGTAAAATATAATAATATAATTAAAATATTTAAAAATATATTTTATTTAAATACCTATAAGTTGATTAATAATTCTTATGTCAATTTATTATAAAACATTCTAATAATTTTAAACATAGATATATATTAGAACCTCATGTCTTAATAGCTACTACCACTCATGAGTTCCTGATAAAAATAAAAGTAAATTTATCTCTTGATTTATAGTTACTTTTAACTATTAGGTAACATTTGTTTCATGGGACTGGACAGAAGAAGGATGCTTTGAAGTGGCGTTTGACACACATTGGACTGGAACAAAATCGGTTATTGACCTAGTCAAATGGGATTAATTTACTTCATTTTAGTCCTACCCAAAAGGGCGAAACACAGTAGAACAGAAAATAAACTGACTAAAAACTCATTCCGTTTTCTATCTAATGTTCCACACTCCTTTCATCTACCCTGTAAAAGTTTGATTATCTAACCTTCACCACCGGAGATCTCGTCGGAATGATGTGTAGACTGCCAGGCGGGTTACTTTTTGTAGGAGATGTAGGTCTGGCGAAGAAAAGTTGCAACTGGTTGATGACTTGTTGAACTACCGGAGATCTTACCGGAGACGAAGTGAGACTGCCATGTGGGTTGCTTTTGCCCGAAGATGGAGGTGTTAAATTAAAAGTAAACAAAAGATATTTAATGGAGATGGTTTAAGCAACAAACATCGAAAAAGCAACCGTCAGAACTGTATAGTTGCAAAAACCGCCAGAAAAGCAGAGGTGTTGCAAGAAAGAAGGCCTACCACGATGATAGTAGAAATGAAAACGAAGAACTGATATATCTATTTTGCAGGGGATGAAGAACCAATGGATACATAGATATGTGCCATTGAAAGATATATCTATTTTGCAATGGATGAAGAACCGATCGATACATAGATAGGTGCCATTAAAATCTGTGTTTGCTTTAATTAATTGATTGATTAATTAATTAATTAAATAATATCAAAATATAAGATAATATGTTGGTTTATAGTTATAATAATTATATGGTAAAAGAATATTAGAAGAAATTAAGGACAAATTGGTAATTTTAGCATTATGTTCTATGGTGTTCGAGTTCTACCAAAACGCTATACAACCAATCCATTCTAGTTCTGTCCGGTCCAATTCTATTTTGTCCGGTTCTGTTCCGCTCAACCTAGTTCTTGTACAAAAATGTTTGGACTAACACTCATGGTCAAAAAGTTTTCATTTTGTTGACACTTTGGTCCAATTTACTTTAAACTTTTTTGTAATGACGATTTTGCTATTTGTTTTTGCTTTTGGTTTTTTATTTATTTAAATAGTTTTATAATTAAAAGAAAAATAAAAAAGAAAATACATCTCTCTCTCTCTCTCTCTCTCTCTCTCTCTCTCTCTCTCTCTCTCTCTCTCTCTCTCTCTCTCTCTCTCTCTCTCTCTCATAAAGTCAAGAACAAACCCATAAAACTTCATATTGTTTCTAATATTTATAAAGGTCATACAAAAAATCAATACCAGTAATGAGCTCACATAAATCAATAAAACATACAGTTACAAAAAAAAATCTATATACATGTTCATCTTCAAAATCAATACCAGTAATGAACTCACATCTTTAATAAAACATATACCATAACCTATTGGAAACCACCGCCACCAGACGGATTTTCCCGCAACCACCGTAAACCATTGCCACTAGTTCAACACCGCCACCAGCATCGATTTTCCGGCAACAACTGTCGTAACCACCATCTCATTAATGCTTCTGAAAGCCATCGTCACCGACGAAAATCCTCTTGTTGTTGCCCTTTGTCTTTGAACGAAGAGAGGGCCCTTTATGCCGGAACGCCTCAGGTCTATCGTTCTCACTTCCGATCTAAAAAGTTGCCATTCATCTTTGAACGAAGTTGAGTTCAAAATTGCCGCTACTACCATTAGAAACCCTAAAACTCGCCACCATTAGAAACCCTAACCCTCAACATCGTTTGGGAGGGAGGACGACGGATCCATAGATTCGTCAACATTCCAGATCCGGCGACGCTACAAACCCTACCAACTCGAAACCACCGATGCTCCGATCTACAACTCGATGATGACGATGGTTGAGTCGCTGCAAACAGAAGCTTCGTCTTTAGAGATCTGAAGATGACGGCGACCCTAGGGTTTGTTGTGCTCTGGCGACTTCGAGCTTTATCTCAGCCGAGTGATGGTGAGGAGTTTCTAAAGAGGAGAGAAAGACGGTGGTAGTGGAGCTGAATGTTGGACGTGAAATAGATGGTGGCGGTTTCAGATTGAATATTCTCTAAAGAGGGACATAAATTGAGATACAAAGAAACCGGATAGTGGTGTAGTAATGGTGGTTGTGGAGGTGGAGGTGGAGGTGGAGGTCTAGCGATAGTTTTGATGGTTCGACGGGGTCAAGAAACTGATAGCTAGTGGAAAGTAACGACTGTAGTGATGATTGTAGATCTAGGGTTTTACGAGAGGATATGAATCAGAGCTTATTCGAGAGAGAGAGAGAGAGAGAGAGAGAGAGAGAGAGAAATGTATTTTCTTTTTTATTTTTCCTTTAATTATAAAGTATTTAAATAAAAAAAATTGAAAAAACAAAAACCAAGGGCAAAATCATTGTTACAAAAAAGTTTAAAGTTAATTGAACCAAAGTGGCAAGAAAATGAAAAACTTTGGACCATGAATGCTAGTCCAAACATTTTTGGCCAAAACTGACAATTTCCACCTAACCAAGGGACCATTTTTGCAATTTTGTTTAAAAACAAAAAAAAAATTATATGATATATCATTTTACAATAGTTTTTATTTATTTATTTAATAGAAACATTAAGCTGACATCGAAGTTGATTGATTGGTTGCACAACCCTACTACATTATTTGTAAACTTGTTATCGGTTTACTAAACTGTGTGAGTTTCACCTTTTTCTTCAAGGGAAAATGATTTATTAAGGTAATTAACTATTCGGTATGTTCACATCTGGGTAACTATCTTTTTTTGTACATATCTAGGTGACAAACTTGTTGGAAGTGTTCACATATGACCATTATGACCTGCTGTAGCAGGTTAAATCCTAGATGTGAACACTTTCAACAAGTTCGTTACCTAGATGTGTACAAAAAAATAGTTACCCAAATATGAACAAAAAGTAAGAGTAAATTACACGAATGGTCCCTGTGTTTTCGTGGAATTTGTGTTTTTTGTCCCTAACTTATTTTTTTTAACTCGGATGGTCCCTATTGTTTATTTTTGTTGCACGTTTGGTTCCTGTCTTACCTAAAAAGACTACTGTGCCCTTATTAATTTATTTTTTAATTAAATTTTTTATTTATGTATTTATTTTTTATATATTAAAAAAATTAATAGACCCCACATATATATATATATATATATATATATATATATATATTATATATATATATATATATTATATATATATATATATCCTCACCGTAAACCTGAAACCACATTTGAGAAATTTAATTTGGGGCTATCCGGTCACCAACCCACTGTCTCTTCATCTGTCACACCCCCGAACCAGACGGCGGAAACGTCTGGGGGCTTGTGCGTGACTTCATCTTGAAATATCATTACAGTGAATATAAATGAAATATAACATCATCATCACCATGCATAATATAATACAACTGTCATTATTTACATCGAGTATAATCTTTTAAATTACATGACCAAAACATTCAATGTATGATGTTTAACAGTATACAAAACAAAATCCCATATTCTTGTTGATTCTTCCGCTTAACGAGTCCCTGAGAATACAAGTTATTTTGAAAACGTCAAAATATATAATGTTGGTAAGTTCATAAGCATGTTTGAATGAAAAGTTTTGTATGGTTCGTAAAACACCAGAAAATCCGATATTTTCTGTAAAGTAGTTTGAAAGTAATGTGTCAAAATCAAGTATTAAAGCATGTGTGTTTGCTGCTTTTGGAATGTATAGATAAACAAAAATGTAATCCAGATAAAATCCTGTATTTTCTGTTGTAAGTAGAAGGTAGTGTATAAATGTATTTATCGTAGAAAATCCGATATTTTCTGCTTACAAAAGTATCGTAATCATAAAATCCCGTGTATCGATGTATGTTTTTAGTATAGTCAATATTTGTATAAATATACCGAAATATTTGATGAAGTTAGTCTCTAAGTGAGCCGTTACAACCATGCTTGATAATGACTAATTCGCCTGTCTTGGCGTTTTCAGGCGCCAGTTTTGATGTAGGTAAGGTTTGTCGCCCAACACTGGCCTAGGTAACGAACGTGCAACAAAATAAATTATTTTTTTTAAATATATAAAAAATAAATACATAAATAAGAAAATTAATTAAAAAATAAATTAATAAGGGCACAATAGTCTTTTTAGGTAAGACAGGGATCAAACGTGCAACAAAAATAAACAGTATAGACCATCCGAGTTAAAAAAATAAGTTAGGGGCAAAAAAACAAATTCCTCGAAACCACAGGGACCATTCGTGTAATTACTCTTACTTTTCGTTATGTTCATATTTAGGTAACTATTTTTTTTGTACAAATCTAGGTAACGAACTCATTGAAAATGTTCACATCTAGGATTTAACCTGCTACATCAGGTCATAATGGTTATATGTGAACACTTCCAACAAGTTTGTTACCTAGATTTGTACAAAAAAAAGATAGTTACCTTAATAAGTCATTTTCCATTTTCTTCAATAACCTGGGCCCTAATTTCAAATGTAGACGTTTTTACGAAAAGTACATTACTCCTGATTTTTGGGGTTTAATCCAACTTTAGTTACATAATTATGAAATATCTGTTTGTTTAGTGGGAAAATGACTTGATAGGGTAAGATACTTTTTGAAATGTACACATTTACTTCTTATTTTTTTTATTTTTTGTAAAATAAACCCTTATACTTTATTTTTTGTAACAATGCAATCCTTGTAACCGGCTATACCCGGTATACCGGTCATATACGGATTTTCTTTTAGTGAAAATGACTTGATAGGGTAAGATACTTTTTGAATTGTACACATTTAGTCCTTATTCTTTTTTTTTTTGTAAAATAAACTCTTATACTTTATTAATATGTACACATTAGGTCATTTTCACCGGATTCTACAGGTTTTGCTGATGTGGAAGCACAAGTGGCACTAAATAACAATTAATTAGCTTAGTCACCGGAGGTGGGTGATCCTCCAGCAACAAGAAAAGGGCGGCGACCCTTCTCTTTCTCGTCTCTCTTCCTTCCGGTCGAACATCAACAACCAAACACCCTTTACCTGTTGTGTTTCTCCGATCTGTCTCTCTTTACCTCCATCTTTGAGATATGTTGCCAGAAAAAGAAGAAAGAATCGACGAGGGGGCTACCAGAGCAGCTCCTCGCCGCCAACTACCATCTCTACTTCCTCCTGTCTCCCCCTTCGACCTTGTTGTTTTTGCCATCATTCCTCCTTGCTACCAGTGATGTGTAGGAACACACAAAGGAGTCGCCGGAGATCGGGGTTCTCCCTCTTTTTCATGATGAATAAAAGTTGGAAAAATCTCGTTGTGGATATGTGGATGCCACCTGGGTATTTCATTTCAACAAAATAAAAGAAAGGGAAAATGACTTGATAGGGTAAGATATTTTTTGAAATGTACACATTTAGTCCTTATTCTTTTTTTTTTTTGTAAAATAAACCATTCAACGTCAGCAAAACCTGTAGAATCCGGTGAAAAGGACCTAATATGTACATATTAATAAAGTATAAGGGTTTATTTTACAAAAAAAAAGAATAAGGACTAAATGTGTACATTTCAAAAAGTATCTTACCTTATCAAGTCATAATACTTAGTACGGAATTAACCGATTACAAATCGTACAAAAGATATCCAATGCTACCAAAATTACCTTTTCACCCCTGCAAATATGCTCGCTTTTCCTATTATTTTTTAAAGTAACAGTTGCTTTCTCATAACTAACTTTGTTGAAAAAGTCTATAACTAACATTTTACTTATTGAAATTTAACAAAATATCAGAAACTATAATTTCTTTAAAAAAAAACCTAGAACATTTAAATGCCTAATTTTTTAATTATGATTAAACAACCGGTTTTAAATGTTTTGCCTTTCGTGAGAACTTTTTTTTTTTTTTTTTTGTTTCTTATTTGTATTTAGATTATGTGTTAAAGATTTAATATTAAATCTATTTATTTCAAACAATTAACAAACTGATATTTACTTAAACTTAAAACTTTAGAGCTATATCTTTTGGTCTTGTTTGGTCAAAAAGAGAAGGGCTTCACCGGAGAGAAGGCAATCAAGGGAAAGGAATAATTTCAATATTGTTTTCAGTTCCACGCTCATAGTACATATACAGAGAGTATCAGATTCCTCTTGGAGTGACATTTTATGCTGATTTGAATGATACCCAATTCAGAAAAGTTATTGAAATTTCATTTAGAACAAAAAAGGAAGAACGAGAAAGACAATTTAATCGATCTTTTTGAAGATGAGAGCGTTAGAGTGGCTAAGACCTATTGTAGAGACGATGGCATGGGACTACTGCATTGCTTGGCAATTTAGTGATGATCCTTCTAGGTATTATATATTATCTAAACAGATGAACACATTTGATTTTTGTTTGATTACCTGTAAAATATCAGGGGTTTGAGTTTATTTCAGGTACATTGAGTGGACTGGTTGTTGTTGTAATGGTAGCCAAGGTGTTTGTAGAAATGTCAAAGAGGAAATTGATGCAACAAAGCAACATTTTCCTCAATTATGCAGAGATACTTACATCAAACACTCTTTGAAGACAAAAGCTTGCGAGAAACTAGCTAAGATTCCTTTTCATTTGCCACTCTATTCTGGGTAATCAATCATCTATTTTATTATTCGTTGTTCTATTGTTCAAGGAAATCGCTCTAAATTTTAACGTCGGAAATCCTCGATCAGGATCCATGGAGAAGTTGCAATGTCGGCTCAACCAGCTTGGATTCATGTGAGTATGCAATGATCAGTATTCAAAACACAAATTCCGAATTCATAACATTTTCGTGTTACTTAACAGGATACCCTTGGAACCCAAGTTTTGATTCCTTTTAATGGTGGTCTGATTGAGCTCTACACATCCAGACAAGTAAGTCGCAAACAATCTAGAAGCAATTTCGCATTAATCTAACATGAATCACTGGCTGTTTTTAGGTCCCGAGAGATGAAATCATGATAGAGATGCTTACGACACAATTCAATACCTTTTCTGCACAACACATTTTGAACCCAAAAATTGAAGCATCACCAAATGTTTCATACCCATGGAGTGAAAATTCATCACTTGTTTCAGTGGATTCAACTCAAGTTTCACCAACTCAATCAGATGTTAATCAACCAATAAACCTGTTGGGCTATGATATTTCTGGGGAAGCAAAAGAATAGGCAAAAACTAAACAGAAAACTGGGAAAAAACATCACCAATCGAATAGTCTTATGGCTGAAAGGAACCGAAGAAACCGAATCAAAGATGGTCTCTTTGCTCTACGCGCTTTAGTCCCCAAGATCTCAAAGGTTTCGTTTTGTAAATTTCATGAATTTTTATTTGGTTCTTGGTGTATAACTAATCTCGAAAATGTTGATCAGATGGATAGAGCTTCCATAGTTGGAGATGCAATCGAGTATATAAAAGAGCTGCAAAAGAAAGTTTTAGAACTTGAAGATGAACTTAAGGGATTAGAAGAAGATGATTTAAAATCTCATGAAGATGAAGTAGAGGTCTGCAAACAGAAAAGAGCAAATCAACCCTCGCCTGTAACAAAAGGGCATACTAAAACCGAGGTGAATAATGCTTATTTAGATATTATCTGTTTATGGAGTATAAAGATTAGATGCCCTAATTCATCCTCTTGTTTTTATGAAGGTTAAAGTGGAAGTACATCAAATTGGGGCTAAAGAATTTTTGGTTAAAATAGTTTGTGGTAAAAAACGAGGGGAATGTTTGAGGACTATGGAGATTGTTGACTCGTTGAGACTTGAAGTAGTTGATATCCACGTCACCACTTGTAATGGCCAAGTCTTGAACATTCTCAAAGTAGAGGTAAGAATTAAGATGGAATATTTTCGAAGCGAATAAGTTTGTTTATTGTTAAGTCATAAGTGACACTATTTGATCTGTTTGTGAAGGTAAAAGGAAAAGAGGTTGCAGCTGAGAATTTGAAAGATTCATTGCTAAAGAAATTGGGTGTCTTGTATGCTTATTAAGTCAAGGATGAGTTAATAGTTTAGAATCATATTATGTTGAAGTATATGAATAGTATTATTAGTAACTAACATTTATAAATGAGAGTTGTAGAAAGCACAAACCTAATACTATTTTAGCTTTATGGGAAGAAAATGATTATAGTTAGTCGTTTGTATTCATGTTTATTCTATTTCGTTAGATTTTTCGAATACGAACCCAAAAACGAAACATCCTTGTGTTGTAGCCCAATTACACCACAATTTTATATTTGAATATAATTTTATATTTTAAAAGGTAACCAACTCATGTTTTCTGTATGACTACCTGCTATCTCGAAACTCGAATTGAATATTTCACTCTCTTTTAAACTTTACATTTTCACCAAGATTTTAATTTTAATTACAAATTTGGTCAGAATTTAAATTTTTGTTAAGAATTGACCATAATTTTTTTTTCTTATGACTTTCTAAGACTTTTTTCTTAATTTTTTTTTTCCAAAAATTTTAATTTTATTTACAACATTTTCTTATTCTTTTTTCAACTTTTGAATTGCATCATATACATTAACAAACCAATTTTCTCGATAATTATGAGACATTTGGATTTGACGAAATAACAAATACGATTTAAAATTAGAGGAAATACTAAAACAATGATTAATTATTGTTTTATTATTTCCTCTAATTTTAAATCATATTTTTAATTTCATCAAATCCAAGTGCCGCATAATCAATGAGAAAAAAATGGATTGATAATTTATATGAGGCAATACAAAAGTTAAAGAAAAAGATAAAAAAATATTATAAAATAATTTTAAAAAATATTTGGAAAAAAGTTAACAAAAAGTTCTTATAAACCATTATAAAAAATAGTTGTAGAAAAATAAATTTGCAAAAAAAAAAAAAAAAAAAAAAAAAAAAAAAAAAAAAAAAAAACTAATTTTCGGGAGGTTTTGTAACAAAATTTTAAATTCATACAAAATTGTAATAAAATTTAAAATCTTGGATAAAAGTGTAAAATTGAAAAAAAAAAGATCTATTCAACGTGAGACATTTTGAAAAATTAGTTTCTAAAAACCAAGGTTCTAAATAACGTGAGCCGTGACTTGGCGCAAGGTAAAAGTTAAGCAATGACAAGTCTTGGCGAGCCATGACGTTTTTCAATGCGTGATTATTTTATATATATTAAAAGAGATAAATCATATAATTCTTGCTTTTATCAAGTATATCAAGTTTTTAGAAGTGTTATATTAGTATTTAATATAAAAAGTTAACAAAAACTCAATTATTTTAGGCCCCAAAAAAAAATCAAAAAAACAAAAAACAAAAAAAACTCGAACCATATCGCGATAAGGCGCGCCTTGACATGTTATTTGGGCGTCACGCTTAACAAATCCGCTTTTGACGTTTTCGTAACGGCTACACCACGTCTCGCGCCATGACACGCATTGAGGCGTGCCATGACGCGTTTTTTAGAAGCATTAAAAACAATGATGACATTTTTTATCTTTTAATTTTCTTCTTTTTCTTCTTCTTCTTCTTCTTATTAGAGTATTAAGTTTATTATAGTAGTAGTATTAACGTTATTATTGTTATTTTTTATTTTTTTGGAACGGGGAACGTTATTATTGTTATTAGCAAATTATTGCTTTTTTTATTTATTATTAGGGTTATCATTTTTATTATTCAAAAGCATTTTCTTTTTATTATTTATTAGATACTTAAGATATTTATATATTGCACAAATGCATTGTATATTTGGTGGGATTTAGGCATGTAGTGGTTAAATTGTGATATGTGGTTACATCATAATGGTAGAATAGTAGGCACTTAATACATTCATTGTAAATCAGTTTTCACGATAACAACATACGTGTTTGCCTTATATTGTAGAATAGTAGGCACTCAGATATGTGGTTTCATCATAATGATAGAAAAGTAATGTCCAACATAACAAACTTATATTCGGTTCTTATAAAATCTGATCAAAAGTAATATAGTGATTGAATTATATTGTTGAAATAGTCTTCACAAATAAATGAGTATTTTCTAGGGACATGCCATGTAAAATAGTAACAGTAACACCCTTCTATATGTACCCCATTTCATTGCTAGTTGCAATGAAATTGTTATGTTTTTTATTGTCTTTTTTAATTGTTTTGCATGTTGCGTTTGTGTTATGTTGTCTTTGTTATCTAGATTACTAGCGTTATTATTAGCTTATAACTATTATTGTTTTTGTTATTATTTTTATTATATTTATTATCCAAAAAGATATTAATAAAAAATTAAAATAAATAATATTAATAAATTATAAATTTGTTTTTATTAATAACTATCAAATAAAACAAATCTTGCAATAACGGAAGTTATTGTGAGGGGCCTTTGATGGAAAAAGTGATAGATGGAGGACAAAATTGATTTTTATGAAGTCATATGGATCAAAGTTAGACTAAATACATGTTATAATCAAGGTTCTAAAAAGATCGCCATGACGGAGCCATGGCGCGCCACGACTCCAAGGCTTGTACCTGCCGCCAAGCTTTACCAAAACGCCGCCTTAACTCATATATGCGTATAAAAATGAATAATAGTTGAAAATACATATAAAAATATTAATTATATACAAAATTGCCGCCTTATGTCACGCCTTACAAACGACGTGGCTCGCCAAGACTCAGGAAAGCTTGAGGCTTGACATTACCGCCAAGTCACACGCCTTACGTTATTTAGAACATTGGTTATAATCAAGAGATCATTGGTATCATTCGTATTATTTACTCTATAATAATTAATGTAACAAATTTTGTTGTGGATAAAAAGAAAAAAAAAGAGTTTTTATTTTTATTTTTTTTATAAATGATAATAAAAAAATAGAATGATCAAAACAAAATTTTTAAATAAGTGCATAGACTAATTGTAGTTTAAAATTTAAACATATAATGACTAAAATAAACACTTAAAAAAATTAAATGACTAAAATAAAAAAAAAAAATAAAAAAAAATCATGATTAACAATAACATAAATAAAATATTTAAATTGGGGTGGTTAAATAATTATAACCTTATCATCCAATGAAGGTGAATATGTAGCAACTACAAAAGCTACTTGCCAAGTGGTATGTTTAAGAATGCTTCTTAACGAATTTTAATCGAGAACAAGTTCAAGCCACTTTTGAATTATCTGTTATGGCCTTGGCTAAGAATTCAATTATGTACGGAAGAACAAAACATAATGAAATGAAACACCATTTTATACGAGAACTTGTTGCAAAACAAGAAATCGATATACAAATGTGCACAACTGACCACTAGCTGATATACTCACCAAAGCATTCTCACAAGAGATGTTTGAACATATGAAAAATCATACGTTCATTACTAGTTTTGAATCAAAGGAGGGTTTTGAAGAATGATTCAAACTGGTTAACTAACATTTTTTTGTCGGGAGTTTTTTTAGGTCTCTTAGTCCACGTTACTTTCTTTTTTTAGTCAAGTTATTGTTTAACGTTCCTAGGCTTATTTAAATCACCATTCAGAATAATAACACTCTCTTGTATAGTTAGCCTTACTTATTTTAATATTTCCATGTTGTCTTTGAGGATGATTCACGTGTATAGCATATATGAATGTCGAGTTAATACAAAAAGAACAGTGGTTGCATACTCCAAGAAGATTAGATTCTCAATTCCCCATGAATTTGACCTCCATTGACAGAAAGCAGACCCCTCTGTTTCTGCAACTGTCAAACGCACGCTACTTGCACCTCCTTTCTGATGCATAGCGTCGACGAATTCCGTAATTCCCACACTTTGAAGTTTTTCTACCCTGCAAAAATCAAATCTTGATTGCTCTTTTTCTTTAGGTGATGGGATGTAATCCATCTGTTCAAATTGATTTCATTGAAATTTTCTTGTTGTAATCTTGGAGATGAATGTCTTTGGGTTATGTGTGACTGTTATAGTTTTCGGGATTTCAGTAGAAGCTCAGCTCAATTCCACCTGCAATTCGAATGATTCCATGATATTGAAGCGTTTCATGAACGGAATGGAAACCGCCATTGATGGATGGACCTCGAATTCTTCCAATTGCTGTGATTGGGATGGTATTACTTGCGATTCCTCCGGTAAGGTTGTCAAATTGGAACTGTCACGAAAAAGATTAGTCGGTACTTTGGCTGATTCACTGGCTAGTTTAAACCAACTTAGAACCCTAAATCTCTCTCGTAATCTACTCAAAGGCAATCTTCTCACTTCACTCTTTCACTTGCCCCATTTGGAAATTCTCGATTTGAGTGCCAATGAGTTTTCTGGGTCGTTCCCATCAAGCGTAAACTTACCTTCGATCCAATTGTTAGACCTTTCTGATAATAACCTCGAAGGTCCAATCGCACCAGGCTTGTGCATCAACTCCACTGGAGTTAAGGAGCTTAAATTAGGGGTGAATTACTTTAATGGCGAGATCCCACCAGAATTTGAGAATTGTAGCTTCTTAGAACATCTTTGCCTAGATGCAAATCTCGTTTCTGGGATCATACCAGAATATCTGTTCAAGTTACCTAGATTGCTTCGATTATCTCTCCAAGATAACAATATAATCGGTCAGCTACACAATACTAATCCTTCAAATCTTGTTTACTTCGATGTTTCCTTGAATCTAATTTCAGGAAATCTACCTGATTTCTTTCATACATTTCCAAATTTAAGCTATTTCGCTGCTCATTCGAACAATCTTTTTGGTAGGATACCCCCGTCATTGTTGAATTCCGGAAGCATTTCTTCGCTTATCTTAAGAAACAATTCGCTCATTGGTTCAATCGATATAAACTGCTCAGCAATGATAAGCCTTACGTTTCTTGATTTAGCCGATAACAAATTTCTGGGCACCATTCCTGATAATCTTCCCGCCTGCCCAAAATTAAAAATGATCGATCTTGGTGGGAACAATCTCACTGGACAAATCCCAGAAACCTTCAAAAGATTCGAATCTTTATCTTATCTTTCACTCTCAATGTGCAAGTTGAACAACCTCTCGGGTTCCCTAAATGTTCTTCAACATTGCCCGAATCTAACCACCTTAGTCCTTGGTGGAAGCTTTGACAATGAAGAAATCCCATCTGATTCCAATATACAATTCAAATCGCTCAAAACCCTCGTGATCCCAAACTGCAAACTCACCGGTAAAATCCCCAATTGGTTAAACGGATTAACAAAACTCAGGATCTTGGATTTGTCATGGAACCAATTAAACGGACCAATTCCACCCTTTTTAGGAAACTTATCATCTATCGTTTACCTTGATTTATCGAACAACTTTTTAGATGGAAAGATTCCAAAAACCCTAACTCAATTACCGGGTCTCCGATCCCATAACATCTCGTTTGAAGTTTTCCTCGACTTTCCTATATTCATGAGGCGAGCCATGAACGGGAAAGTTTTATATTACAGCTACGGAATTCGATTCCCGCCAACTTTAGATCTGAGTAACAACTTTCTGACCGGAGAAATCTCACCAGAGTTTGGGAATCTGAAAAACTTACATATTTTGAATCTGAAATATAACGAGTTATCGGGTAGTATTCCAGAAAATTTAGCGAATTTGAGCAGCATTGAGAGTATTGATTTGTCTCATAATGATTTGTGTGGGGAGATACCTGTATCTTTGGTGAGATTGGGGATGTTGTCCAAGTTTAGTGTCGCGTATAATAATCTTACAGGGATTATTCCTTCCGGAGGACAATTTTCGACCTTTTCAAGCTCTAGCTTTGAAGGGAACCCGGGTTTATGTGGTGAATTTGTTTTAAACTGTCGCGAAGTTGAAGATCTGTTGGAAAAACAAGAATCTGAGGAGGATGAGGAGGAGGAAGAGACGATGATTGGTTTGCCTGTATGGACTGGTTTTGGAACTGGTTTTGTTTTGAGTGTTGTCTTGTTGGTTGTTGTTCCAAGAATTAGGGATACTAAAAGAACCGATAAATTTGAGTAATGTTCATCGTTTCTACTATATTCAATTAACAGTGTAAGTATGTTTTGTATTTAATGTGTGTTTCTTGATTAAGGCCTTTGGTGATTTTGAGTTTTTCCCCAATATCTTTAGTTTAATTTTGTTCAAACTTCAACGTACAGGTCAGTCATGGTGTCTTGAGGCCATTGCAAATTGTACAGGAAAATGCTTAAAGCTGAATATGGTTGGTGAGAATACATCGACTCATTATTGTAGTGGTGACGAACATTAGCAAGAGAACTAATCAAATTGATTAGCCTCCTTTTCCAATTCCACTTCCATGAGACAATTTTTGGGCAGACACAACACGCCTATGAGAAAACAAGCAATTTTTATCCGATTCAATGATGTAAGACGAGGGAATCTATCTATCTTTTCAGGCAATATTGTCTAGCCACCTATCTTTCTGATGATACGTAAAATAAAAGATTCCTTTTATGGGTGTAAATCGTTTCGACCCGGACCTGTAGGAAGGCTTCTGGATATCGTCATCATTTTAGAGGGGCTATGAGCTGTAAAAACACAAGAAACAATCAACAGATGAGGGATTAGGAAGTCAGTAATAATTCATCGGATGACGATTCTCCGTAGGTAACTTCATATTTTATATGAAGTTTTACGCCACTTTCCCGGGTAGGATTAGAACGATTTTGTCAAAAAAAGGTTATGATTTGCGTAGGATGCTTTTTCCTAGCAATTGTTATTTTGCATTTTTTCTGATATCTAATGCAATTATCTTTATCTCTTTTTTATCTAAATGTAACCTATGAGACATTTTTGCCTCCTCTCCCTGTTCTTGTATTTATAACCTTCAAGAATAACAAGTGGGTAAGCAAGTTGTGTAGAATCTTAATCATTTCGTCTCCACCACTATTTATATCATGGGAAAATGGCTTATAAGTCCAACGAAGTTTTCAAACCGTTCAAAAAACTTCTATTATGTTTTATCTGTTCAAAAAAACCCAACGAATTAACCTTTTGTCTAAAAAACCCCAACTAACTTACACTTCTCATTTAGGGTCAACCATCTAATGAAAGTCAACGAATGACATGGCTTATGACGTGTAATTAAATATCGAGAAAATGACTTGTAAGACCAACGAAGTTTCGAAACCGCTCAAAAAACATCAATCATGTTTTGTTTGTTAAAAAAACCCAAGGAAGTTACGCTTTTGTTTAATTCTCATTAGAGGCAACCAAATTCATTAGGTATAAAACTAGTTGGCAAATGACATGAAATTATATTTAATGACATGGAATAAACAGATTAGAATTGCCCTTTATATATCGATTTATGGCTTGGAGAAGAGAAAAACGAGTGACGTCTGTCTTCGATCTCTTGTAATAGTTACTTCTTATTCTTCTTCTCAATCGTTGATATCCAACTCAAGATCTACAAAGAAGATATTTGATGATGAAAACCCTTGTGGATGTGGACGCCTTTCTTGGATTTGGACATCTAGAACAGAGGATCATCCAGAGAAAAAAGTTCAGGGCTTATTCGAACAGATGGACAATTCTAATCTGTTTATTCCATGTCGTTAAATATAATTCCATGTCATTTGCCAACTAGTTATATACCTAATGAATCTGGTTGCCTCTAATGAGAATTGAACAAAAGTGTAAGTTCGTTGGGTTTTTTTCAACAAACAAAACATGATTGGAGTTTTTTGAACGGTTTTGAAATTTCATTGGTCTTACAAGTCATTTTCCGATATTTAATTACACGTCATAAGCCATGTCATGCGTTGACTTTCATTAACCGGTTGACCCTAAATGAGAAGTGTAAGTTAGCTGGGTTTTTTTAGACAAAATGTTAATTCGTTGGGATTTCTTGAACAGACAAAACATAACTGGAATTTTTTGAACGGTTTGAAAACTTCGTTGGGCTTATAAGTCATTTTCCCTTATATCATTCATATACCTATTGATTCATGTATATGCCTCCTTCTTCTAGATGATCATTAGATATACAGATTGTTTAGGAAATAATATGTTATTATTGAATACACATATTATTATAAAATAAATATGTTAGTTATTATATATATATATATATATATATATATATATATATATATGCCATCAAGCCCCCCAAGACTATGTATGACTTTTGTAAATGCATATTCTTTTTATTTATTTATATATACACATATTATATATATATATATATATATATTATATATATATATATATATATATATATATATATGTTATGAATTAAGCGTAAATAATGTAACTATAAATCAAACCAAACTAGTAAACTTTGATAAGAACTTTAATTGAGAAGAAAAGAATATTTAGAGAGAATATGAAAGTTATATCTCTTATAGTTTTTTTTGGTGTATCACATTCTTTACAATGGAGGGGTATTTATACTATAAATTTTACTAACATATAATTGTAACTAGTTAGAAATGTTGACAAATGTACCATGCACCAATTATTATGTCATCCACAAATTATTTACAACACCACCAATTATTTACAACACTCCCCCTTGGATGACATCATTTTAGCGTTCAACTTTGACGTACTGCCTCATTAAAAACCTTGCTAAAGAAAACCCAGTGAGAAAAAAACTTTAGCGAAGGGAAAAAGAGTGCAGTGTATAGTTGACTCCCCCTTATTTAGACACCCGTCACATTATATTTTATGCACATGTCGCATTCCGATGCCATGGACATGTTTCCTAAAGATTGCAGTAGGAAGTGCCTTCGTAAAAAGGTCTGCTGCTTTGGTACTGGATTGAACATATTTGATTTCAACTTGATGGTTCTTTATAAGCTCTTGAGTGTACTCAAAAAACTTTGGAGGTATATGTTTTGTCCTGTCGCTCTTGATATATCCCTCTTTCATTTGAGTGACACATGCTGAGTTATCTTCATAAATTAAAGTTGGACATATATCCTTTTCAAGTCCACATGAAGTTAAAACTAGTTGTGTCATCGATCTTAACCATGTACATTCTCTACTAGCTTCATTTAGTGCAATTACTTCAGCATGATTTGAGGATGTGGCAACAAGTGTTTGCTTTTGAGAACGCTAGGAAATTGCAGTACCTCCATTCATGAATACATATCCAGTTTGAGATCTAGCTTTATGAGGATCAGACAAATAACCTGCATCTGCATAACCAATCAAGCAATTGTTTTGAATTGTTAGGGTAAAATAACCCTAAATCACTAGTTCCTCGAAGGTATCGAAAAATATGTTTGATTCCATTCCAATGTCTTTTTGTTGGGGCTGAACTAAATCTTGCTAGAAAGTTTACAGCGAAAGAAATGTCATGTCTAGTACAATTGGTAAGATACATAAGAGCTCCAATTGCATTTAGATATGGTACTTCTGAACCAAGGATTTCTTCATTTTCTTCGCATGGACGAAATGGATTCTTGTCAATATTTAATGATCTAACAACCATTGGAGTGCTTAAAGGATTTGCATTTTCCATATTGAAACGTTTCAAGACTCTTTCTGTGTAATTTGATTGATGCACAAGCATTCCGTTAGGCATATGCTCAATCTGTAAACCAAGACAATATTTGGTTTTTCCAAGATCTTTCATTTCAAATTCTTTCTTTAAAAGTTCAATCACTTCAAGGATTTCTTTATTCGTTCCAATGATGTTTAGATCATCAACATAGACTGCTATGATCACATATCCAGATGTTGTTTTCTTAATAAATACACATGGACAAATAGTGTTATTTTTATAACCTTTACTTGTCAAATAATCGCTTAAACGATTGTACCACATGCGCCCAGATTGCTTTAACCCATACAAAGATCTTTGTAATTTTATAGAATACATTTCTTTGGGTTTCCGCACTTAACGCTTCAGGCATTTTAAATCCTTCAGGGATTTTCATATAGATATCACTATCAAGTGATCCATACAAGTAAGCTGTAACAACATCCATAAGACGCATCTCTAAATTTTTAGATACTGCCAAGCTGATTAAATATCTGAAAGTGGTTGCATCCATTACCGGTGAATAAGTCTCTTCATAATCAATTCCAGGTCTTTGAGAGAAACCTTGAGCAACAAGCCTGGCCTTGTATCTTACAATTTCGTCTTTCTCATTTCTTTTTCGTACGAAGATCCATCTATATCCTAATGGTTTCACAACTTCAGGTGTGAGGATAATGTTCCCAAAAACTTTCTCTTGTTAAGAGAATTTAATTCAACTTGCATAGCTTCCTTCCATTTAGCCCAATCATTTCTTCTTTGACATTCAATGACAGATTGTGGTTCGGGATCATCATTCATAATATCACATGCAACTGAATAAGAAAATATTGCACCTATATTGTCAGTTTCATTTTGGTCACATATTCTATTTGTCTGACCATAATTTAATGCATCATCCTCCTTTCCTGGGGGAATTTGAATAATTCGTGTTTCTCCAGGAACACTTTCATCGTGATCTAGTGCATTTTCTGTTCCTCTTCTTTTTCGTGGGTTCTTATCCTTAGAACCAAATGGCCTTCCACGCTTCAGGCGTGTTTTAGACTCTTGAGTGACTTTATCATCAGATTGTCCATGTGGAATGTCAATTCGAGCTGGAACATTGACAGCTGGTATATATGATTTAGTCACCCTTTTTGTGTCAGTAAATGCATCAGGTAATTGATTTGCCATTTCTTGGAAATGCATTATCTTTTGAACTTCCATGTCACATTGCTTTGTGCGAGGGTCAAGATATGATAAAGTAGGCTCATGTCATGACACATCCTTTTCCATAATCTTCTTTTCTCCACCTAATGATGGGAAATTTGCCTCATCAAATTGACAATCTGCTAGGCGTGCTGTGAAAACATCACCTGTTAATGGTTCAAGATATCTTATAATAGAGACTGACTCATAACCAACATATATTCCCAACCTTCTTTGAGGACCCATTTTTGTCCGTTGAGGTGGTGCAATAGGGACATATACTGCACACCTAAAAATTCTCAAATGGGATATATTTGGCTCTTGACCGAAAGCAAGTTGTAGTGGAGAATATACATGATATGAACTTGGTCTCATGCGTATCAATGATCCAGCATGTAAGATTGCATGGCTCCAAACAGAAACAGGAAGTTTGGTCCTCATTATCAATGGTCTAGATATTAGCTGGAGACGTTTAATCAGTGATTCAGCTAAACCATTTTGTGTGTGTACATGAGCAACTGGATGCTCAACAACAATTCCTACAGACATACAATAGTCATTAAATGCTTGTGAAGTAAATTCACCAGCATTATCAAGTCTCACTCTTTTGATAGTATAATCAGGGAAATGTGCCCTTAATTTAATAATTTGGGCAAGAAACTTTGCAAATGCCATATTACGAGTTGATAATAGGCAAACATGAGACCATTTGTTGGATGCATCTATTAAGACCATAAAGTATCTAAATGGTCCAGATGGTGGGTGAATCGGTCCACATATATCACCTTGAATTCTTTCTAGAAATCTAGGTGACTCCCTTTCAACTTTCATTAGAGAATGTTTTATAATTAACTTTCCAAGGGAACAAGATGTACATGGTTTTATGCTATTGGATTGAGGGAACTTTTGGCCCTTCAATGGATGCCCGTGTGTATTCTCAATTATCATTCGCATCATTGTTAATCTTGGGTGGCCCAACCTATCATGCCATAAACTGAATGTCCCAGGATCACAATGTT